TTTCTGTTTTATGTATGCCAAATTAGTGTTGTCCCATCTGTAATCCTCAATAAACAACTGTCCTCGACCGAGCATCACCTTTTGAAATTGTGACACAAGTGACCCAGGTGATTGCCTATGGTCTCAGGTTTTCAGTAGTAAAAGTGCGATTTGCACTGGAGTCTTTTAGAATGCTTAGTTAAGTGGAGCGGGAAAGACAACACAATATGGATATTCAATCACACACCCTTCACGAGGACTCGGTAATCAACTCTCGAAACCCGTCTGTCATCAGCAAAAAGGAGCACATTCTGCCGCGGAAGTGATAATGGGAACGCAAGAATATCACCCCGTGACTGCGTCAAATTCTCGAGATCAAAGTTCAACACGCGTATGTACACATGCAGTGTACAAATGGTATAACTAAAGCGAATTCGTGCCGAGCGCGAAGTCACTGGAGAAAACGGCCTAAAGAAGCAAACTAGAGTCACATCATGATGGAGTGCGACACAGAAGTGGTCCGGTAGTACCACGATGTAACAACCCAATCTTGATCACAAGAAGTGCATAAATTATGATACATGCTCCTGTCACTGATGGGCCTCTGATTCAAAAAGCGTCACATAAGTTGTTATTATCATAAATTTTCACCAGACGTCCCTCGAAAGAAGACAAGCTGGAGTCTAACAGTCACATGTAGCGCACAGCATCCACCGGCTGATAGTAGTACACAGTACTTCATCATTTTTTCTTCTGACAGCCAAATTCCCGAATCTTGAAAAGCTCTTTTCATTGCAAACAATTCAACTCTGTTCACTACAAAGAAAATCGGATGTCAGACATGCGAGAGCTACAAAACAGTCACCACCCCGAAAATTGGTGTGCGAATAAAACAATAAGCATGCAACTGATACCCCAATATGTCTGCACCAAACTTCATTCATGTCTGGAATCGAGTAAATGAAAGCTTGGATGAAAACCCCAAACCAACAGGGCCATCAAAAATGATTGAGACCGAAGAAAACCCGTTTGAAGTTACATGTAGTCAGTGGATGTGTGTGCTTGCTTCTGCAAATGTGGGTTAGTTATTTGCCGGCGAACATGCGCTTTGTTTGATCAAATGAATCCAGTGTTATTTTGATCTGCACACAAGTTTAAAACTCAATCAATGACTGATAGCGAATATCCCTGTAATAAAAAATAGATAAACAAACTGAGTACAATAAATACGACTGAAACGGTTCGTTCGCGACGAACATCAAAGTTCTGGATGAGGTATTAGATTTGTTTGCTACTCGCAAATTGGTCCATAATTTACGCGATTGCATTCCGATTATAGAGTTATTCACACTTTGGTTTAGAAAAACAAAACACTGGTCAAAAAGTGCGGAAGTGTTCGCCAAGGAAATGGATGACCAACTCTGTGGACCATGTTGATTGATAGGTTGTCTTTGGAAAATTCGAAAGCATAGATCTATCCAATTCAATATTCTTAATCAGTCATGCTGTACACACGTTACTGCAAATGCTTAACCATCAAAAGTCCGTCTTCGTACCGATAGTAGTCTTTATGTGTGGCAACAACTGTGAAACCCAGTTTGCTGTAGCACTGAATAGCGGCACGATTAGACACATTGGTGTGCAAATAGATAGCAGCAGTATCTCCTCGTTGCTCACAAATCTCAATAATATCCGACAACAGTCGCGTCCCGATACCCAAGCGACGGTACGGAGCTAGACAGGCCAATTGAGTGATATAGCACCGATACACAAACGGCTCTCCATCCTGATCGGGATTTTTCGCTCTCCGTTCGTCCGTCTCCAATCGATAACAGATCACACCAAGGACTATTTGGTCGTACAGTGCAACTCGGCTAGTCGTGATAATGGAAAGCCACTGGGACGGCTTCAGACACACCAGTTCCGGAAAAACCGTGGTCAGAATAAACCGGACTTGACCGATCTGCCTCAAACCGCATGGTTTAATCGTTAGCTGATCCGGGAAATATGTGATCGAATGTGATGCCTGACCATTTTCACTCACGAAGGGAGACTGAGCACACATCAAAAGTACCAATCCAAGCACGGTTTCCTTTCCCTTTCTCACACACACAGTATGTGCGTATAGTTGAAAATTTGGATTAACAGTGGTAATCTAATTATGCAGTCCAATCGCTGGTTGTCGATTTACAAGTGACTTTCCAGTGAGATCGACATTCGCTACGGCAGTCTGATTTGTCAGCACGTGACCCTTATTGAGCAACGTGCGAACTATACCGGCGTGCTTCATCAAATAGGAAACGAGACTCTGTGACAATTGTGAGAAATCCATGTGATATGTAGAGCTACTTGCGACCCCCTTTCAGGAACCGATCGACCACCTGTGATGTACCGAACACAGCACTTCTGTCACACGAATGCATGCACGTCAAGGTCGAATTGCAGCGAAAAGAACGGAAGCGAAATCTATCCGACTGCATTCCCATTTACGTGTGATATGACTAATTTGATTCCGAATCCAACCGAGCGATTGGGACATAAATAACTCGGATACGGCAACGTCAATTGTTTTTCTCATTCAATAACAAGAGTGGTTTCATTCAAACGAGTTACGGGTTATTCCATCGTGATGCTTATTCACTACAGTACTCTGGAACCATCAGATAAATAACCCGAGTTGTGGTCAGATGACGAAACACTGATTCACAATGTATTTGTTCACCATTTAGAACAAACGAAAACAATATGAATGGAAATTTCAGTATAGATGGAGACAGGGACAATACGATTGCACTTGATAACAGATGAAAACCAGACTAAACACAGTAGAGTTCTGTGATAGGAGCCAAATCCGGTGATTATCCGTGTGGACAAAGTGTAACTCTACATGCTCATAGAGATCCGCCACGAGGGAAACACACGCACATCGCCTGATCAAAGTTGCACTGCTCATATGAAGAGAACACCAAACAACAGTGAACACGTAAATCCACCAAGTGCAGACGATGGGAAAAAGGGACGGTCAGCGCCGAAAATTCACCATCAAAACCATAAAGATTAGCTAGACTGGATCAGGTAGTACAACATTAGGCTCCGATGCATCTCAGCCTAAACAAGGGAGTGTGGATCAAGTGCCGTATGAAACTCGTGCGATCACATCCTAGGTGACATCGTGCTTGCGATTTCCGAAACAAGAGCGAATACCAATCAACAGGTCAATGCCTGCAGCATGTTTCAGGGTTGAGTCAGTTACTTGAGATTAGTGGTATGGATAAGTGTTATTGCACTGAATCGACTAGGATCCAAACGCAAACACAATCCTCAGTTCATTTAGCCAACCATAAACTGAGGGAGAAACGGGACTTAATTTTCGATTCGTAGAATATGCCCACAAGCCGTGGGCATATTTTCTTTTCGAGATATCACATGAGGAGACATTGCAAGTGCACACTCTAGCGTACCCGAAGAAAATTACGCAATCACCAATGATCGTAAAACTCTATCCCATAGATTTCTACCCGTAAACTCGCAGGCGTCAAAGGCCACTGCCGGTTTTGAACAGCCGATCCTGAAGCCCTGCTTTGTTCGCAGATTGATGTAAACCTCCTTCGTTTGTTGTGTAGCGTGAATGTCTATGGCGAACTAAGTAGATCGCTCATAACTAACAGATGTATTCGTCTGAAATAGAGGTATCTCGGGAAATAAGTCATCTCAAACGGCGTAAGGCTTCCGGCCCCGATGGGCTGTCTCCATCAGCGTTTAAGGATGGAGGCTCAGCGTTAGTCTTAGAGTTGACGAAACTCCTGGGCTCAATATGGGAAAGAGAGGAGGTTCCAGCTGAACGGTGTGAGTCGGTG